GGCTTCCTGGTCCGAGCATGCCTGTCCCAGTGCCGGAAGGGGGAGCGGTAGGGCAGCCCAGGGCCCCTCTCGGGGGGGGGGGGGGGGGCGCCCCCCGCCCTCTGCCTCTCCTACGGCCACTCCGACGACCGCTTCTGGCTGGCGCTCACCGTCTTCTTCGTCCTCTGCCCCTCCGTCCTGGTGCAGCTCACCCTCATCTTCGTGCACCGCGACCTCAGCCGCGACCGCCCCCTCGTCCTGCTGATGCACCTCCTCCAGCTCGGGCCCATCATCAGGTGAGCGGGGCAGGGACGCGGGGACCCCCGGCGGGGAGGCGGGCACCGGGTGGGAGCCGGGGCCGGGCAGGGTGGGCTGCTGCGGGCACCGGCAGTCAGCAGAAATCCGTCCGTGCGGCGTGCCCAGAGCTGCTCCTGCCGGCTCTCCGGCCCCCTCCTCCCCGGGGACGCTGCTGCTCCGGGGTCTTCTGCTCGGCCACCCCTCCCCAGCGAGGCTGCCGTCCTGCCGGGGGGCTGCTGCTTGCTCCCCTGCCTGCCGGACCCCTGCTCTGGGCAGGACTCGGCTCTGCCAGCCTGTTGCGTTTCAGCTGCTGAAAAAGGTTTTTCGCACGGTTGCTTTCTGCAGCCAACGTTTCCATCTGCCTTTGGGTTTTGCCATCGTCTTGCTCAGGCTGGGAGCACAGATGCTGGGGTGCTTGAGGGAGAATAGGAACAGGGGTTCTGTCCCCTGGAAAAGGTCCCCGGGCCTGGGACAGGGAGGGGTTGTGGGACACGGAGGAGAGGAGCTGGGTGCAGGAGCGGGGCTGGCATGGGAACTGGGGGGCTGCCGGACCCTGCCAGGGAGAGGAGGGCGAGGGGGTGGATGTTGCACAAGCTGGAGAGATGCTGATCTGTCACTCCTTGGGAATGCTGCGGTGCCTCCTTGGGCTGCCGTCACCCCGGCCATCCCGCTCGGCAAGAGCGCACAGGGGGTGCAGCGAGCGGCATGGCAGAGCCGCCATCTCCGCAGGGCTCCTTCCCCGAGGGCACACCAGCAGCCACACTACAAGGCGCGCCATAACCGCAGAGCTGCAAAAACACCATGGCCTGCACCACGCTTCCTCCGTCACCGGAAACAAGCAGGGTGCCGGGGGTGTCCTCGTCACTGCGGTTCGTCTTCAGAGGCGGCTGGGGAGCCTCACCTCGGTGCTGCCAGCTCTTGGAAGGGCTGCGGGTCCACCTCAGCCTGCGCTGGCCCACAGGCGTTGTCGCAGCTCTCACCACACCGACCGCAGCTGTCTGAGACGGTTGCGATGGTGCTTGGCCGCTTGCAAGTGTCAGCCAGAGCTCCTTGGGGGGGGGCTGCTTCATTCGGCTCCTCGGGCTGGAGATGGAGCCCAGCCTGTTGGGAAGGTCTGGCAGGGCACCGGCAGCCAGCTGGGACTGCCCTTGAAGCCAGGCCTTTTGGATGAAACCGTTTTCCCATTAGAGTTTGCAATGAGCCATGAGCGCTGGCCTGATCTGGCAAGAGAATTTATCCAAAAAAACTCATTCCATTTGGTTCTCAAACAGAGCTACTGCTGCCGTCCTAATGAACACTCATAAATAATTACGTCTTGTTGGTCCCAGAGCCAGCTCGTCCCCGGGCGGGAGCCAAGCCTGTCGGATGGGTCCTCCCCTGCTGACAGCCTCTGGCCCACGCACGCCCACCTGCATGGCTGTGTGCGGAGGGGCTGGGGGTCCCACCGGCCTTGCAGTGGGGAGCAGCGTGGGAGAAAGCCGCCTCCCCTGCCCGCACGTTCGCGTGCCCCGCGGGGAGGGGGCTGCGGAAGCCCTGTCTTATCTGCCCATGTCACAGCCGGCTTCACCCTGCGCTCCCCTTCCTGCTGTCCCCACCAAGAAGGAAGCGTAGAAGGCTTCTGCTCAAGAGGAGAGATCAAAGACAATATCAGAAAGTTTCTCTTGCTTCTGCTTAAAGGAAGAGATGCATTTTTGCCAGTGGGGAAAACAGAGCCTGAGGGCGATTAACCCCTTCCTGTAGCTCTAGCTCCCAGCAGGGCTGAAGTTTCCATACCCTGGATGCTGCACCTCTTGCAGCAGTTGTTGCACCATCGCTGGGGCAGTTGTTGTCCCCCTGCCCCACACGCTTCACCCTGAGCGCCGGAGCAGAGGAGCAGCCACCGGACATCCCCATGGTCCTGGTCTGACCCTGCCCTCATCCTGACATCCCAGGATCCTGCCCTCATCCTGACATCCCAGGGCCAGGGACTGCCTGCAGCACTGCTGAACAGTTGCCCAAATCGGTTGGGCTGTGCCTGGCAGGAACAGGGTCCGGCTGGCACCGGACGAGGAGGGGCTGGAGGTGCAGGGAGCGGGGCCGGGGGGCATCAGGGAGGCTGGCGGGGTGATGGCTGCCCCGTCCCCACAGGTGCATGGAGGCCCTGGTGGTGTACTGCTGGTCGGGGAAGGAGGAGGAGCCCTATGTCACCATCACCCGCAAGCGGCGGCTGCGGCAGGGCTACGAGGTGGAGATGGAGCAGGAGGTGGGCCACTCGGTGCGCCGGCTAGCCACGCACCGCAACGCCTTCAAGCGCATGGCGGTCATCCAGGCCTTCCTGGGCTCCACCCCGCAGCTCACCCTCCAGCTCTACATCAGCGTCCTGGAGAAGTACGTCCCCGCCGCCCGAGGTAAGGGTGCCCGGCACCTGGGCTCCGTGCAGGCAGGACCCCGCCATGTGCCGGTGTGGCATCTGAACGAAGCTCTGGGGAGTTGCTGGGGGCACAGCTGCCACCGGACTCCCCTAAATGTGGAGCACAACCCGCAGAGGTTGAGCACTTGTCTGTCCCCTGGTTTGCTTTTCCCACGCCCAGCGCTCTGCTTTCCAGCTTGGAGTGAGGCTGGGGAGAGTGGGAAGAGCTTGCTGTGACTGAGGCGCCAGGCTCTGCTCCCAGCCCTGGTGCTTGCAGACGTCTGCCCTGTGGAGCCGTGCCATCCACCCGGTGCCCTGTCCCGTAAAGATCCCATAAAGATGTCGTGCCCCTGCCCCAGGCTGCTCCAATCTCCATTAGTTATTGGGTTTTTCGGGCTAGCTATGGGCTCTGGCTTCCCCGTGCTCCCTCCATTAGATCTGTTTCTGCGCCTTTCCCCACAGCCGGAGCTCCCAGCCCAGCGCTCCCACTCCCAGGCTCCCTTGACTGCTCCCAGGGTGTTGATGTGCGCAGAGGCTGGATGTGCCGGAGCAAGCTTTAAACTCCCACTTCAGTGTGCTACCGAGCCGGGCGCGCAGGAGTGCTCTTGCACCTTTCTGATTGTAGCGCCCGGTGAAGGAGCTGCCCTCGCCAGCCCTCTCCCAGCTGTGCTGGGAGCCCAGGCCTTGCCCTCGGTGCCCACGGCAGGCGCGTGGAAAGGGGAACATGGGAGATGCCCCACAGAAACCCCCTCCTTGGCCATGGCCCCCTGTGAGGGCGTTTTGAGGAGTAGGAGCAGCAGAGGCTGGAGGACGAGCCCAGCGCTCCTCCAGCAGCAGATGAGGGAAGCAAATCCCGGTTGACAAGTTTTGGGTGATTCCCTCGCAGCTCGGGTGTCTCAGCTCAGCTTCACAGTTCACCGCTGCTGCCAGCATGATGTGACTGGGACCAGCTGCATGCTTCCCTTTTTCTCCCTCATGGTTTTCCTGGCTGCACTGAATGCGAGCAGCCTCTGGTGTTCCCTGTGAATGACCTTGGCTTTGCAGCCCTCGGGTGCTCCCGGGGTGAGTGGTGGGCTACGGTGGTGCAGCTCTTGGCCCAGGTGAGGGTGGAGGGACTTTTGCAGCACAGACCATGCCCCACTCTCCCTTGAGCAGCGTTTCTTGCACAGGGCAGGGGTGTTGGCACCTGGTTCAAGGCCAGGAACAGCCCCAGTTTGGCAAAGGCTTCTGGTTTATTGATGTAGGGAGAAAATCTGGGAGCAGAGCCTCCTGCTGCCTGCAGTGCTCCCCCACAGCCACCCCATCGTGGGGTCTGTCGCCACCAGCCACGAGCTGTCCCAGCAGTGCTCCTGCTGCAAGCCCCGGTGCTTGACACCCTGCACGTTGCACCCAGAGTTGGCACCCTATGCTCTGCACCCAGGGCAGCAGGGAGGCTGGCACACAGCCCAGTCCCCAGCATTGCCTGACTCCCCTGCCCTCTCCCTCTGCAGCCGTCCTCATGGGCATCTGCCTGGTGTCGGTCACCTACGGGGCGCTCGTCTGCAATATCCTGGCCATCCAGGTCAAGTACGATGACTACAAGGTCCAGCTGCGTCCGCTGGCCTTCCTCTGCATTGTGCTCTGGCGCAGCCTGGAGATCTCCACCCGCGTGGCCGTCCTTGTGCTCTTCAGCACCGTCTTCAAGCACTGGATCATCCCCATCGCCCTGGCCAACCTGCTGGTGGTCTTCTTCTTGCCCTGGGTGCAGTTCTGGCGGAGCGGCACCCGCCTGCCCGACAACATCGAGAAGAACTTCAGCCGGGTGGGCACGGTGGTGGTGCTCTGTGCCTTCACCCTCCTCTATGCCAGCATCAACATGTTCTGCTGGTCGGCCGTGCAGCTCAAGCTGGCCGACCGGGACCTCATTGACAAGTCGCAGAACTGGGGCCGCCTGGCCGTGTACTACGTGGCCCGGCTGGCGGAGAACACGGCCCTCGTCATCCTCTGGTACTTCTTCAAGACGGACGTCTACGAGAACATCTGCACCCCACTGCTGGTGGTGCAGCTGCTTCTCGGCTACTGCCTGGGCATCTACTTCATGCTCCTCTTCTTCCAGTACCTGCACCCCTGCCGCCAGCTCTTCCGGCACAACGTCGCCGACTTCCTGCACTGCGTCTGCTGCCGCCGGCACACGCCGGGGACCCCCCTGCGCCTCCAGGCGCCCCACGAGCCCGGCGTGAGGCACAGCATCGTCTGAGGCACGGCCAGCACCCGGCTCCTCCAGCCGGCTACAGACACGGGGACGGGCAGCGCCAGGCTGCGCCGGCAGCCGGAGGGGGCTCGCGGCACAAGCCGTGCCAGAGGCAGGTGCTCCCTGGCCTTGCGGTGGCAGCGGGTCCCAGTGCGTCCCCACAGTGGCAGGGGGACAGGAGCGTGCCCACCTGCCCAGGACCACGCGCATGGACACGAAGGACTTACGGGGTGCCCAAACCATCTGCCACTGCAAGCCAGCTGCCGTGCGGTGCACAGCCCTTGGGGTGCCCCAACACCCTCGACCACCCACTACGGTACATATGGTGACCTTGGGGCCACGGGTGCCGGCGGGACTGTTTCAAGCAGTAAAGAAACTTTGCTGTGGCTGCGCGTCTGGGTGCTGGCAGGCGGGCGGTGACTCAGGCGGAGGGTGGGGACCGTCCCGCCGGGGCTGGCATGGCTGTGCACACCCGCTGCCCACGTAGCCCTCGCACTCGTGGGCACCGAGCCAGGGCTGTGCCGGCAGGAAGCGGGGATGTGGGGAGCCCCGCCATGGAGCTGATAAGGTGCAGGAGCATGGCGGGGGGGAGGCCAGCCTCATCCTGCGCCTCCGTGAGCATGGCCCTGGCTGCAGGCCAGGACCAACCCGGCACGCCAGCAAGGAGCAATCCTGCCCAACCTGTTCCTCCAGGCAGGAGGCCCTGGTAACGGCTGCTGTTCCCAGCAGGAGCAGTGGGTGCCGCAGCGCTGGGCACCGCGGAGCTCGAGAGCCTGCAGCGGAGGGCAGGCAGGACAGGAAGGGTGGCTGGCACAGCGATGGTGATGCTGATGGGACCCAGGGACCTCCCTCCCCCCCAGAAACCATTTTTGGGGTCAGCTCAGTTTGGAGGGTCCTGGGTGCCAGGCTGAGGGTTCTGAGCACCCCAGGGTGCCCACGGAGGTGCAGCACTGCTGGTGCTCAGGCACTGGGTGCTCAAATCTTAACTCACCTTCCCTGGGGTGGATCTCCGGGCTGGATCCTGGCACCGGCGCAGTGCCATGCCCCTGGGATGCATCTCTGCCCTTGGTGGTTTTCTTGTCAAATGGGCAGCGGGGGCTGGCGAGGGATGCCAGGGATGGGCACATCTGCTGAGCTGGGCACAGGATGGACCCTCTGCAACTTCCTTCCACCAGGAAATTCCTACCTTAAAAAAATACCAGTTTTGTCCCCAAATTTTGCAAAAAACTGAGAGGAGCAGCCCGGTGCCCTGCAGTACCTGGCCATGGGGCTGCGGGGGACCCCTCGGTGGGGGGCCATGCCCGGCCGGCGCAGGGGGCTGGTTTCGGGGCTGGCCGATGTGATGAGTCCTGCCTTCCTGGAAGGTGGCCTTTGAAACCGCCCAACATTTCCTCAAAGGCTTCTCGGGGGAAAGTCCCCACGGTGCCGTTCCCAAAGTCCCCACTGTGCCGTTCCCACAGCCGGGGCTGCCACACCGCCTGCCGCCTCCATAAAACTGCGGGCAGGCAGCGGCAGGCAGCGGCAGGTAGCGGCAGGTAGCGGCAGGCGCGGGCAGGCGGGCACGGGGACATCGCACCATGGGCAACTGGCTGGTCAACCACTGGTTCTCGGCCACAGTCCTGGTGAGTGTGTGGGGCTGGGGGGCTCATCCACTGGGCAGGGCTGGGGGGATGCAGGGGGCTATGGGGGGCACGGTGTGGGCATGGCGCCGGGGGGCTCATGGGGGAAATGGGGGCTGGCGGGCTCTCCTGGGGCTGGGCTGCAGGGAGGGACAAGCATCCCCCTCTGCTCAGCCAACCTGCAAAGCCAGGGGAGGGATGGGGTTCGGAAAACTTAAGGAAAACACAACTCAAAGGAAATGGGGGGGTCCCACTGCAAAACTTAAAAATGCTGCTGCTTTGCCTGGCCACTTTGGCCGGGAGCCTCCCATGTGCCTCTTCTCCCCTCCTGATCGCAGGAGGCTCCTGTGAGAGCCCACACCAGAGGGACGAGCTGCCGGTGCCGTGCCGCAGCATCGCTGGTGTAAGAGGGCTTGCCCAGCCGGCAGCGCGCCAGCTGCTCAGTGCTGTGTGAGGAGCTGCAAATGCATGGGAAAATGGGGGTTTGCAGAAAGTTGGGTTATTTTCATTTTTTAAATTACTTTAAAAAAAAAAAAATCAAGGCAGAGTGGTCTTGGGAGCTCTGCAAAAAATTGATGGCTGTGAGAGGGGCCAGTGCGGGGTGCAGCAGCATGAGGCAGGGGACGGCAGTGCGGTAGGGCTGGGTGAGCCAGCTCCCTGCAAAATTTCCCGACTCCCAACATCTTCCCCAGACAGCCCCGCTCAGCCCCAGCCACTCTCCGGGTCTGCCCTCCTGCCGTGCAGGCGTTGCCTGCGCCGGCCTTTCCTCCTTCCTCATGCGTGTGTGGGTGATGCACGGGGCCGTGGGTGACAAGACAGTTATTTTGCAAGACTCCCACACCTCTCCCCACCTTTGGCCCCGTGTCCCGGCCCAGTGCGCGCTGCCGCAGCTGATGAGGAAGCAGGAGGGGACGCGCTGTCCTGGTGCCCTCCGGCTGCACCCACACCCGAGTGCTGCAGGGTGAGGGGGTCCCGGGCCAGGGTCCCTCATGAGGCCATGGCTTTCCCCTGCAGGCAGCCTGGCTGGGCATCAACATCTTCCTCTTCACGTACTACTTTCTGTTCTTCGACCGGGACGAGCGGTACTTCTACACCAGGGCCATCCTCGGGGTAAGGTGCTCCCCTGAGGCACATGTGCCCTTCGGAGCCCTCCTGCAGTGGGGTGGGGGCTGCAGCACCCCGTGCCCCTTCTTGTCCTGTCCTCTTCCAGCCCGCCATCGCTCTGTCCCTGTCCCCAGCCTGGCATTCCTCCATGCTGGTCCCCATCTTGGTCCCTGTCCTGCCCCAGCCCAGCATCACCCCCTGCCAGTTCCCCTCCTCTCCTGGCTCAGCATCACCCCCTCCCAGTCCCCAGTTCAGCATTGCTCCTTCCCAGTACCCAGTTCAGCATCACTCAGTCCCAGCTCAGCATTGCTTAGCCCCATCCTGTCCCACTCCTGGCACAGCACCACACTGGGCAGAGCGGTGGGGGGCAGCATGGCTGCAGGCAGACGTACCCCATCTGCAGCACAGAACAGCGGTGCTCACCCCTTCCCCTCTCCCCAGTCCGCCTTGGCGTGGGCACGAGCATCAGCCAAGTGCCTCAACTTCAACAGCATGCTGATCCTGCTGCCCGTCTGCCGCAACCTCCTCTCCTTCCTCCGCGGGACCTGCTCGGTGAGTGCCCAGCGGTGGCACGGCCAGCGCGGCCATCCCCATCCCATCACCATCCCCATCCCATCTCCATCCCCATCCCTGCCCTGATGCCGCCGCCTCTCCCCGCAGTGCTGCAGGCGGACGCTGCGCAAGCAGCTGGACCACAACCTCACCTTCCACAAGCTGGTGGCCTACACGCTGGCCCTGCTCACAGGTATCGCTCCGTACTGGGCTTGGGGGCACGGTGGGGATGAGGAGGCAGGCAGGTGTGTGACTGCCTGTCCCCTGCCCAGCCGTGCACACCATTGCTCACCTCTTCAACCTGGAGCGCTACAACCACAGCCAACAAGCCACCGACGGCAGCCTCGCCGCTGTCCTCTCCAAGATACACCTGCAGAGCAGAGACAAGTGGCTGAACCCCATCCACTCCAACCAGACGGTGAGCACCAGCCCCAGCATCCAGCCCCCTGCCACCGACAGTCCCCTGCCCCCCTAACCCATCCTGCCACCCCTGCAGACCGTTGAGTACGTGGCCTTCACCACCATCCCGGGGCTGACGGGGGTCATCATCACGCTGGCGCTCATCCTCATGGTCACATCCTCCACCGAGTTCATCCGCAGGAACTACTTTGAGGTCTTCTGGTACACGCACCACCTCTTCCTCATCTACTTCGCCGGCCTCGTCATCCACGGCATCGCGTAAGGCTCATTGCGGCTCCCCAAGGGCAGGACAGCGAGGGGCAGCGGCCACAGAGCCCCCGGTGGGGCAGCCCTGCCTGTGCAGCCCCGGAGAGGGTCCAGCGGGGCTGTGGGCTCCCCGTTCCCAGGGCTGGCTAGCCCAGCCAGCCTCACGCAGAGCGGCTGAGCCCCAGCCGGGGGGGCAGGAGCCAGCCCCCGGGCTCACCCCTCGCCTCCCCGCAGAGGGCTGGTGCGCGGGCAGACGGAGGAGAGCATGGAGGAGGTGCACCCCCATCGCTGCGCCCACTACCTCGTGCACAAGGATGAGGACTGCAGCCACGACTGCTGCAAAGTCCCTGAGTTCGGGAGCATCCCCGCTGAGGTAGGGCAGCGGCGGGACGGCTGTGGGGGGAGAAGCTCTTCCCTTGCCCTTGGGATGCTCCAGCCCTGGCCCTCCCCAACCCTTTGCTCTCCTCCATTCCCGCAGTCCTGGAAGTGGGTTCTGGCCCCCGTCCTCCTCTACATCTTTGAACGGATCCTCCGGATCTGGCGTGCGCAGCAGAAGGTGGTTGTCACCAAGGTGGGTGGTGCGGGAGCCTGTGCCTACCGCCAGCTCCTTCCCTCGCAGCCACCGGTGCTGCAGCTCCTTGCCAGGGTGGCCGCGGGGAGGTGGGCAGGGGCCGCTGCCAAAGGCCCTTGCCCAGGGACAGGAGCCAGGCTGGGCGCTGAGCCCTGCCCCTGCCCCGCAGGTGGTCATGCACCCTGCCCGCGTGCTGGAGCTGCAGATGCAGAAGAAGGGCTTCCGCATGGAGGTGGGGCAGTACATCTTCGTCAACTGCCCCGCCATCTCCCTGCTGGAGTGGCACCCCTTCACCCTCACCTCGGCACCCGAGGAGGACTTCTTCTCCATCCACATCCGTGCGGCCGGTGACTGGACGGAGCGTCTCATCGACACCTTCCAGCAGCAGAAGCCGGAGATGCCCAGGTAGGCTGGGGAACACCCGAATGGACCATCCCGGGGATTTGGGGAGGCCGCACCTCTTACCCATGCCCTCCCCCGGCCAGGATCGAGGTGGATGGCCCCTTCGGCACGGCCAGCGAAGACGTGTTCCAGTACGAGGTGGCCATGCTGGTGGGAGCGGGCATTGGCGTCACCCCCTTCGCCTCCATCCTGAAGTCCATCTGGTACAAGTTCCAGCAGGCTGACCAGACCCTCAAGACCAAGAAGGTATGGGGTGTCCCATGGGAGCAGCCGTGGTTTTCTCCATGCTGGGCTTCCCAGTCCTTGACATTGCGTCCTTCCACCCCTCTGGCTCCACTCCACCTTGAGCAACCTTTCTCCCCGCATCCCAGATCTATTTCTACTGGCTCTGCCGGGACACGGGAGCCTTCGCCTGGTTCAACGACCTGCTTGCCTCGCTGGAGCAGAAGATGGCCGAGTCGGGCAAGGCAGACTTTCTCACCTACCGTCTCTTCCTCACTGGCTGGGACACCAGCATTGTGAGTCGACCACGGGCAGGCGTGACTGCAAGGGGGGACACGGGGTGGCCGAGCCAGGCAGGAGAGGCAGGGCAAGCACTTCAACGGCTTGTAGGCAGAAGGTCCGGGAGTGGTGTTTGGTGGCCATCAGAGATGGATGCTCCTCTGTGGTGAGGAGGTAGGCTCGTGGGTGGTGGCCGGGGTCCTCACCCTCCCTGCTCTGCCCAGGCCAACAACGTGGCACTCCGCTTCGACACCGCTACGGACACGGTGACGGGCCTCAGGCACAAAACCATTTTTGGGCGACCCATGTGGAACAACGAGTTTGCGGCGGTGGCTGCAGCCCACCCCAGGTGAGAACGGGGCAGGAGGTTCAGGGTGCCAGAACTGGGAGGAACCCCCTCCTCCCCAGCACCCAGCGCTGGGCTGGGCAGCACTGGTTTTGGGAGGGGCGTGCTTATCCCCTGCAGGTTGCAGGGACCCCAAAAAGCACTTACATCACTTTTCCCTGAGCCGCCCGCCCGGTGCCAACGTCCCCGTGCCATGTGCAGGTCAGTGGTCGGCGTGTTCCTCTGCGGGCCGGGGGCCTTGGCAAAGAGCCTGCAGAAGTCTTGCCACCAGCACTCCAGCCTGGACCCCAGGAAGGTCCAATTCTACTTCAACAAGGAGAACTTCTAAGTGGCAGCCAGGCTGGGACCCCAGCGGACAGGGGACCCTGCCAGTCTTGCCTCAACCCCAGAGCGAGTCGACGTGGCTGGGGATAAGCATGCGCTGAAGAGTGTGAGCACAGAATCCAGGCAAGACACGGCACGGTATTCCTTCTCCACAAGAAACTCTTAGGTTCAGAGACTGCTGCCTTCTCAACCTGGTCTACAAGGCGTCCCTATGGTGGGACCGGGCCGGCAGCTCCGCCCGGCCCCCCGTCGGGAAACCAGAGGGAGATCCTGCGATGGTGCCGCGGGAAGCAGCGGGAAGGCCCAGCAGGCTGGGCAGAACCACAGGATGGCAATGGGATGGGAGAGGGGCGCGCCGAGCAGGCACTGGGGGCCAAACGTGCCCCTCTGGGTTTCAACAGTCCTTTGCGTAAAAGGGTAAATTAAACGTGCTTTCCTTTGCAATAAGAGTCTCCATGGTGACTCAGTCCGTGCAGGTGCGAAGGGGGCCCGCTCTCTGCCCCCTTGTAGGGCTGCAATAAAAAAGCTGGTTCCCAGCAAACCCTCTGGGTCAGGTGCTCCTCCTCCGTGGGGGCTCGCTGCCACCACCCGGAGCCGGCCCGCACAGCCCACCAGGCCCGCACCAGCGCGCAGGCCGACTTCAAATGCAGCTCATGCAAAGGCAACAAATTCTGCTCACGCATATGCAGAGAAGAGGGGAAAACCACCCTCCCCGAGCAGGCCGGCGTGGTAAGCGATACAGCAATTGGATACGGAGCCGTTCCCGCCTGGTCAGCAGGGATAGAAAGCCGAGCTCCCCGTCCTGTGCTTCCCTTACACCCCTCTGAACAGCCGGGAACAGCATGGCATGGAAAATCCCATGACTAGATCTTGCCCTGGTGCTGGGGAGAAGGAAGGAGGCGAATGGTTTGTACTAGCCTGGAGCCAGGCCAGACTCTTCCCAGAACCCAACAGTCCCACTCTGGCCGCCACGAGGGACCAAACAAGGCAGCCGGAGACACGGCTTTACTCAAACCCTCCTCCCACTTTATTTCAAACATCATAAAATATACACACAGAAGACAGGATGAACGGGAAGGGAAAATGTCTGGGGGGGAGGAGAAATCTCTCCCAAAACGCAGCATCAGCTCAGAGAGCAACGGGAAGCAGCTGCCACAGAGCGTTGCCTCTGTCCAGGTGGACAGCATCTCCACCGCGCGCCTGCGAGAAGGAAGGGGAGGAGAGTGAGCCCCGGCATGGAGAGAAAAAGCAGAGTACAGCCCCATCCTAAGCAGCTCTCCGATTTACTGACGGGGAGCAGGCACGGCCCGAGGCTGGGTTAAGGAGATCACCTGTCAGGGTGCCCCCGTGGACTTCTGGATTTGCTCCTTCAGAATAAGGATGCTCTGCCGTTGCTCTGGGGGCAGCATGGCGATCTGGTCCGCTGTCAGCTGCAGAACCTGCATGATCAGGGCTGCCTGTGGGGAGAGGGGGAATCAGAGACGTGCCCTGCCAGAGCAGCCACAGGTTACCGGCAGCCACGGGTTACCAGAGCCAGGAAGGGGCTGTCCCCGCCGCAGTAAGGCGCGGAGGAAGTGCTGCTCCCGGTGTCTCACCCTTTCCCTTTTGTCCTCTCACCTTCTCGTGATCCTGGGGAGTGACCTGGCTCTGTCCAGGGCTAAAGCCTCCGGGCTGACCAGCTCCTTGGACCCCTTGCCTCCTCCCTGCATGCCTGCCCCTGCCATGTTAGGAACCTGCGGGCACAAGAGAGGGGGTAAGGACCAAGGGGTCTCTGGACCCAGCCATACAAATACAGAAACGTAAAGCAGATGATCAGATGGATCCCATCATCCCACAGCCAGCCTGAAGATGACCAAGCATGAAGAGACAGGCTACCATGCATTTTACGTGCTCTCCTCTCCCTCCAACTCCTGCACTCTTTCCTGCACATCAGGAAGAGGGGGGGGGAGGGCCCAACATCAGGAAGAGGTGGAGAGAGGCCCGAGCCTCCTCTCATCCCCAGCAGATGGGCAGTGCCTGGGCAGATGGGATGGATGCCCCAAACCCCTCAGAGAGCCACTGACCCAGGCCTTGTGGTTCCTGGAGGTGCCGCTCTGCAGGACGCCTGCCCCTCCCTAGCTGCTGCAGGACACCATCACAGCCTGCACTCAGACCCAATCTACAAGACACCACCGGTGCCCTACCAGCCCAGCAGAGACACTGTACATACCTGCCGGGGCCCCTGCGGGCCACTGGCTCCCATGTTAAGTGGCCCAGGACCCTGTATCCCACCAGGCATGGGGCCACGTGGATTGGGACCCGGCCCTCGAGGCTCCAGGCCCCGGGGCTCCATGACCCTGGCCTCCATGGCCCTAGCTTCCAGCACTCGTGGCTCCAGGACCCGCGGCTCCAGGCCTCGTGCCTCCAGGGCTCTCGCCTCCATCACCCGGGGCTCCAGCCCTCGCGGCTCCAATCCTCGTGGCTCCAGCCCTCGGGGATCTCTTCCGACTGCAGGGGAAAGACAAGGCAAGCTGTTGAAGGGAGCAGTACCACAGGGAGCGTGGGAGCGAGCCCGCTGCCTCCTTTGCCTGGGGGTGAGCAAATGCCTGGAAGGTGCAGAGCTGGGGGCAGAGGGGACATGCCTCGAGGAAGTCCCTTGCCCCGTGGGACTGTCCCTCCTTGCCCTGGGGCCAGTTGCTTCACTGCCCAAACCCCCTTCCTACGCCTCGTGTCGGGGCAGCGGGCTCCACTCTGACTTCTTGTCTGTCCGCTTTACGCCACCCGCTATTTCATGCCCCCTCTCTCACCTCGAGCATCCATCAAAGGCCCCCGCGGCTCTCCCATCAGTGGTCGGGGTTCTCCCATGGGTCCCCCCCTCATCTCATGGGGGGGGCCACGGCTGTCATGACCAGGCATATGGTGCATAGGGGCTCCCTGGTGGGGCGGCCCAAGGTAACCTCTGACGCAGAGAGACGAGGAGAGCAAAGCAGGAGGAGGAGAAAAAGCGAGAGAGTGTGAATCAGACGCTGGCTTGGCAAGGTCTGGGCAGAGCGCTGGGATCATCCCCGAAGCCGGCCGCAGGGGAGGAGGGCGAGGCTGGCACAGGGACGGGTGCTGTCGGCCCCATGCCACAGGGCTGCTGCCATCACCCCGGGGATGTCCCGTCCCCGGGGAAACGGGCCAGCCCCCGCGGTCGGCAGCACACAGGCCTCCAACCAGGCAGCGGTGACTCCCGGAAGGCTGGTGCCATCCCTGTCCTCAGCGAGAGGTCACCCTTGGGCAGGGGACAGTGCCAAGGGCTCCTCTCCTTCCCTCTCCCCTCACCTGGGCTCCACTTCTCCAGTGACTGAGAGCAGGGTCCCTCCGCGAGGGTCATTCGGGGCATCTCCCAAAAGGCCTCGGGGCGGCGGGCCACTAGCAGGTAGAGGTCCACGCTGCATAGGGGCCCTCGGGTCTGGCATGGGCACTGCCAGGGAGACACACAAGAGCTCGTGAGGATCTGCATGACCAGTGCCGTGCTGAGACTGTCCCCCAGTGCTCTCCGGCCTGGGGTGCGGGGCGGCCTTGCTGCTCCCCGGCGCGCAGGCGGGTGAGCCGTGCTGACCGCCGGGGCAGCAGCCCCTCACACAAGGCCGGAGCGCACCGAAGCCCCTTCCCTGGCTGCTGATTTTATCCCTCTCTTCCCCTCTCTGGCTCTACCTCAGGCTCCTTACAGCACCAGGTGGCCAAACCAAGCGTGGATGCCCCCGTGGCGATCTCTAGGAGCATGGGCATCAACACCCTGCCAACGTGGGGCCAGGAGCAAAGCAAGACCTGGAAGGCTCCTGGTAGCGAGGTGTCAAAGGGGGCTGGATCCTAGGCAAAGGCCCTCTCCAAGCAGGCTCTCCTTTTCCACTGGTGCACAGCGCTAGCCTGTTCTCTCCTGAGGCCCTGGAGAAAACCCTGCTTCCTCCTAACCCTGCCAGGCTACACAGAGTGATGCACCAGTCCCCGGCCCTGAGCACAGCAGGATGAAAGCTGCTCTCTGCACACTCCACAACGAGCTCCACGGGAGGAGGGAGCTGGCGGGTGCTGGGATACCTTGAACGCGTTCGATAGACGCAGGCCTGGCAGGTCCCACGGGCGAGAGCTGCAGGTTCCCTGGGCAAGCAGCAGGAAAAGAGGGAGAAGAGCAGACACGTAAATAGTGTATGCACACATGCACTCAGCCTTGGGGACAGCGCTGCCTGCAGGATCACCTCCGCTCCCTGAAGTCCCCCGGAAAACCTACGGAGAAGATGCTGCCTGCTGCAGGTCTGGCTTTATCAACCTCTTCCATTAATGCCACCTCTGCCACCACAGGCGTGAGAGCCAGCTTGGCACGGCCCTTCCCTCACTCACTGCGTGAACGTGCGGGGCAGGAGGACGTCCTGCCGAGAGAATCGGCATTCTCTGGGGCCATGCTGCGCCCCAGAACACACAGCCAGTCAGCTTCTCCTTCTGCTCCTGCCCACAGCTTCCCACGGCACTCCCCAGTGCCAGCTTTCTGTCTGCTCTCCGAAACCTTCTGGGTACCAGCGAAGGTGCCAAGAACTGCCAGGTTGCTCTCAGGAAGATGGTGCCCCCCCCCAAAGAAAATGAGAGTCAGCTTCTCCTAAGATACCTAAGGCTGGCGGATCTCAGAACAAGTTTGCCACGTTCCCGAAACAAGGCCTACGATACAAGTCAAGACAACAGGGGTGTCAGCTATGTGCCTTATTACTGGGAGAACAGGAATGCTTTGGTTGTGCTACCGCTGGCGCATGACTTGACGGGGCAGCCACACAACATGTGAACCATATGGAATCTGGCTCCGGGGCTGGGCCGTACAGACCGTGCCTGCGGAGGGAGAGCCAAGCAATCGCTCACCGGGAAATTCCCTGCCAAGCCTCGCACTCACTGTCGCAAGCAAAAGCAAAGGCCCAGCTCCCTCTGCCGGGCACGGCGCAGGGAGCGCTGGGAGACACAGGCAGACGCGGCGGCAGCACAAGCTGCTTCCCAGCACCCAGGCAGCGAAGGAGCAGGACAGGGACCAGAGAAGAGCAAGCTCTGCCCACCTGCTCAAGCACAGGGACAGACGCGGGCTCACAGAGAGATGGAAAACACAGGCACGTCCCGCTCGGTGGGGCTCTGCGGGGACTGGCGGCTCTCCTGGCTTCCAGGGCACATCTGCACAACACGGTGCAGGACAAGCTGGGAGCAAACTGGTGCGTGCCCTGGGAACAGGAGAGCCGCTGCCACAGCCTTGCGCCTAAGCAAACAAACCCGGGCACAGCCCAGCGCTGCGGGAGCCGCCCCGGATCCAGGTACGGCAAGGCTGCAGGGAGCTGGCAGGGGCTCTTGGCGCAGCACCGCTCAGCACCCGTGGCCTGGGCCCCCGCTGGAGCGAGGCTCACATAATGCACAGCACTAACCCATGTCTGTTTTACCTTGTCCGCGCTCCAAGGGGACAGGCCCTCCTCCCGGCATCCCAACCTGCGGCTGCATCCCACCTGCGAGGGAACAGGCAGAGATCAGATCCCTCCCCAGCCGGCCCTGCACCACTAACAGCTTCCTCAGGCCCCAAATACCTCCCCCCTCCCAGCTCCTGGGGGAGCATCCAAAGGTTTATTTTCTCGGCGCTGGCTCCTCACAGAGATAAGGTTTATTTTCTTGGTGTTGGCTCCCCACGGAAATAAGTTGACTTTCTGAACCGCCACTGGCAGCAGCCACAACCACAGCATGCAGTATGGGACTACGTGCGCTCCCACGGGGCGAAGCCCTCTGGTTAAGGGGAAGGGAGAGGGGGGCTGTCTGCAGGACTCGTGTGCCCAGGGCACCGTTCAGCCAAAACCCACGCACTCACCTCCTGGAGCCATGGGGCCAGGGCCCGGGCCCTGCACAGGGGCTGCCATCTGTCCTGGGGCCGGCACTCCTCCCTGCATGGGCGGCTGCATCAGAGGAGGAGCACCGTTTACGTGCATCCCACCCTACCCAGGAGAGAAACCGGACCTCAGGGAAGCCCCATCACCCAGGCACGCGCGCCCCAGCTGGGAGAGCTGGAGCTGGCAATGCCCATCTCTCCCCCCCACGGCACTTGCATCGCTTAGGCTCTTACTATGGGCTGTGGCTGGGACGAGGGGGTGTTCTGCGGGTTCAGCTGGGCGTTTGGCCCTGGCCCAGGCCCCGGTCCCGGTCCAGGGCCCGGCCCTGGCACTGGCTGCTGGTTGCCTGGGATCAGAGGAGGAACGCTGGTCTGGCGATGCAGGATTTTCTAGGGGCAGAAGGAGAAAGGAGTTCTCTTCCACTCCCCCTCCACAACAGGCTGCCACCGATACCCTACCGACCCTGGACGAGGCAGCAAGGGACAAACCAGTGCGATCTCCGGGTCGACGATCCTCATGACCACCTGGGCCTGCAGCAGGGCGTAAGCCAGCTGGGGGTTCTGGAGCAGCATGTTCCTGGCTTCCTGCGGGCTGTTCTGGACACACAACTGAGAAGACACAGGCAGATCAGAGCTCTGGCAAGGCATGACAGGGGCTGTGAGGGCACGGGCAGCGGTGGTAGAAGCTGTGCTCACGCAGAGAGCGCAGCCCTCCGCTTCGCTCACCTTCATCTGCTTCATCAGCTCAAACATCTGCTCGGGCGGCAGGCTGGCCACTGCCCGGCTGATGGACTCGGGGGCATCTTCAGGGTTAACAGGGTCCCCATAGGGTGACTCTATGATGGGTGCACCTGTGCCCAAGCCTGCAACAGAGTTTGTGACCTTGTACGGGAATGTAAACTGGCCGTTTCTAATGGGGTCATCAGAAGGGAAGCACCACGCCATTACGGGGAAAGGGAGGCAGTGAAAACAGGGAGAGAAAACACAGCTGAGCCCACACATCCCTCAGCAAAACTAACTTGCTACATCTCTCAGAGCAGGTCAGCTCCGCGAGGTCTCCACCTCGCCAGCCTCGCAGCAAAGGCACGCTTTGTAACGCTGAAAAGGCCAGGCCCAGCACAACATCAGTGCGTTCTCCATCACAAGATTCAGACTCACTCTTCAGCTCCTCCTTGTTCTTCTCGCTGGCCGCGTTGTCGACGCGCAGGGCCCTCCCACTGAACTCTCGCCCGTTCAGGTTCCGCATGGCACTAAGGGCCGTCTCCTGGTCTTGGTACTCACAGAAGCCATAGCCCTTCGGCTTTCCCGTCTCCCTGTCATACACCAGCCTGTGCAGCGAGGAATCATAGAATCGTTTAGATTGGAAAAGACCTTTAAGATCATCAAGTCCAACCGCTAACGCAGCACTGCCGAGCCTGCCACCAAACCATGTCCCTAAGCACCACGTCTACCCGTCTCTTAAATACCCCCAGGGATGGGGACTCAACCACTTCCCTGGGCAGCCTGTGCCAGGGCCTGACTACTCTTTCAGTGAAGAAATTCTTCCTAATATCCAACCTAAACCTCCCCTGGCGCAGCTTGAGGCCATTTCCTCTCATCCTATCGCTTGTTACTTGGGAGAAGAGACTGACCCTTGGGAGGAGAGACTGACCCCCATCTCGCCAGCCTCCTTTCAGGCAGTTGTAGAAAACGATAAGGTCTCCCCTGAGCATCCTTTTCTCCAGGCTGAACAACCCCAGCTCCCTCAGCCGCTCCTCACAAGACTTGTGCTCCAGACCCTTCCCCAGCTTCACCAGAGGAGGAGAGAACCACCACCGCTGAGGGCGGTGTGGGCATGGAGCAGTGTGCGGCGCCCACAGCTCCCCAGCGCTCGGGAGGGGGCTATCGTGAGAAGCTAGAGTGAACGCACCGGGGTCAGGTCAAGGCACGCAACAGCCGGCCCTAAGCCAGAGCCAAAATCCCTCCTGGTTCCAGGCCGACAGGTGTTCCCAGAGCTCTGGTGTCCAGGAAGGCCACCAGCGCGAGTGCTGTGCTCCTCATCACCCCACGAAGGCAGGTCCTGGGGGCACAGGACTGGCCTGGCTGCTCCTGGAGCTCCGAAGCCCTCAAGCGAGAGCTCTCTGAAGCCTGGTGCCAAGCCAGGAAACCAGCCCTGCAGAGCCGCTGGGGTGGGAGCGCTCTGCGCTCCCGGCTCTCTGCGCACTGCCCGGCCAGGACCTGAGGACTTACCTGCCCCAGCTCCACGCCGCAGCAGGGCAGCTGCCTCCAGCCCGGAGCAGCCTGCCCGCCTTCACGCTGCGGGCTGGGGGCCGTTACGCTCCACATCCCTCGGGGCGGGATCTGCCCGCGATGCCCGGGGAAGCAGAGAGGGGAGGCCGCGGGAGGCCGGCAGCCGGTCTCACCTAAAGCTGACCAAAGGCCCGA